CGTTGCCGCCGAGCCTGAGCGTCTTGAGCTTGCGGCAGAAGAACAGCTCCTCGGGCAGGGACTCCACCTTGTTGCCCGCGAGCGACAAAAAGAGGAGGCTCTGCAGGACGCCCACCTCGGGCGGCACGAAGCGGATCTCGTTGTGCGCCAGGTCGAGGTGGCGCAGCTTGTTGCACAGGAAGAGGTGCGAGGGGAGCACGCCGATGCGGTTCCGCGTCAGGTAGAGGCGCTCCAGGTGGCCGAGCCGCTTGATGTGCTCCGGGATGGTCGCGATGTGGTTGTGCCACAGCTTGAGCGTCGTCAGCTTGTGCAGGTGCTGGAAGCTGAGGATCTCCTCGATCGAGCGCAGGCTGTTGTCGCGTAGGTCCAGGTCCTTGTGGTGGGGGGGGGGGCGGCAGGGGGGGGCAGGGGGATGTTTAGCAATCATCAGGCAAGTGCGGTGCATGACAGCCGAACGGGCTGTTTTGAAATTACCACCATCACTATCATCCTCCCTCCCTCCTCCATCACCACCACCTCCCTCCTCCACCACCACCACCTTCCTCCCTCCCTCCTCCACCACCACCACCACCTTCCTCCCTCCCTCCTCCACCACCACCACCACCACCACCTTCCTCCCTCCCTCCCTCCCTCCTCCACCACCACCACCACCCTTCCTCCCTCCCTCCCTCCCTCCTCCACCACCACCACCACCACCTCCCTCCCTCCCTCTACCACCACCACCACCACCACCACCACCTCCCTCCCTCCCTCCCTCCTCCACCACCACCACCACCTCCCTCCCTCCCTCTACCACCACCACCACCCTGCCCCCTCCCCCGACCTCGCACCTGCAGGTTGAGGAGGCTGAAGATGGCGTGGGGGATGCGCTCGAGGTCGCAGTTGATGAGCTCCAGCTGGGTGAGGCCGGCGAGCTTCTTGAGGCTGTTGAGGACCACCATGCGGGTGCCGTCGTTGTTCACGGACAGCCGCTGCAGGTGGCTCGCCACGTCCAGCACCGCCGCCGGCAGCTTGCTCATCGTGCCGCGCAGGTGCAGCGAGCGCAGCGCCTTGAGCTCGCGCAGCGACTCCAGGGAGAAGTTGCCGCCGCCGCCGCCGCCGCCGCCGCTGCCGCCGCCGCCGCCGCCGCGTTGGCCGTCCGGTCGCGACTCCGCGTGGAGGTGGAGCTCCTCCAGGGCCTGGACGTGCCACACGCACGCGCCGGTACGGCCGACAACGCCGACAACGCCGACACCGCCGAGACCGCCGAGACCGCCGAGACCGCCGAGACCGCCGCACCACCACCACCACCACCACCACGATTTTTATCAATCATCATCAGCACAACCACCGAACCACCACTGTAACACCACAATCATCATCATCATCATCATCACCAATTCATCATCACCACCACCATCATCACAATTATCATCACCACAACCACCGCAACAATACCGCACCACAACCACCACCACCACAATCATCATCATCATCATGTCATCATCACCAGCACCATCATCACGATCATCATCACCACAACCACCGAACCACCACTGCAACACCACAATCATCATCACAAATTCATCATCACCAGCGCCATCATCACGATCATCATCACCACAACCACCGCAACACCACCGCACCACCACCACAATCATCATCATGTCATCATCACCAGCACCATCATCACGATCATCATCACCACAACCACCGCAACATCATCGCACCACCACCACCACAATCATCATCATCATGTCATCATCACCAGCACCATCATCACGATCATCATCACCACAACCACCGAACCACCACTGCAACACCACAATCATCATCATCACCAATTCATAATCACCACCACCATCATCACAATTATCATCACCACAACCACCGCAACACCACCGCACCACAACCACCACAATCATCATCATCATGTCATCATCACCAGCACCATCATCACGATCATCATCACCACAACCACCGCAACACCAACGCACCACAACCACCACCACCACCACCACAATCATCATCATGTCATCATCACCAGCACCACCATCACGATCATCATCACCACAATCCACCGCAACACCACCGCACCACAACCACCACAATCATCATCATCATCATGTCATCATCACCATCATCACGATCATCATCACCACAACCACCGCAACACCACCGCACCACCGCCACCACAATCATCATCATCATCATCATGTCATCATCACCAGCACCATCATCACGACCATCATCACCACAACCACCGCAACACCATCGCACCACCACCACCACCACAATCATCATCATCATATGATCATCACCAGCACCATCATCACGACCATCATCACCACAACCACCGCAACACCACCGCACCACAATCATCATCATCATCATCACCAGCACCATCATCACGACCATCATCACCACAACCACCACAACACCACCGCACCACCACCACAATAATCATCATGTCATCATCATGTCATCATCACCATCATCACGATCATCATCACCACAACTACCGCAACACCACCGCACCACCACAACCACCACAATCATCATCATCATCATCACCAGCACCATCATCACGACCATCATCACCACAACCACCGCAACACCACCGCACCACCACCACCACCACAATCATCATCATCATATGATCATCACCAGCACCATCATCACGACCATCATCACCACAACCACCGCAACACCACCGCACCACAATCATCATCATCATCATCACCAGCACCATCATCACGACCATCATCACCACAACCACCGCAACACCACCGCACCACCACCACAATAATCATCATGTCATCATCATGTCATCATCACCATCATCACGATCATCATCACCACAACTACCGCAACACCACCGCACCACCACAACCACCACAATCATCATCATCATCATCACCAGCACCATCATCACGACCATCATCACCACAACCACCACCGCCGCCACAGCCACCACGACTGCGCCGCCCACCGCCCGCCCCACCTTGAGCGAGTAGATCCAGGGCGGCACCTCCCTCTGCTCGCTGAACCTGACGCGCAGCACCCGCAGGCTGTCGCGCAGGAACGCCAGTGCGGCCGCCTGCACCCGCACCACGGGGCAGCCCATGAGCGCCAGCTCACGCAGGGACGCCAGCTGGGCCACGGACGGCGGGATCGTCACGTCGGTGATGAGCTCCAAGCGCAGCGACTCCAGCTCCGTCACCTGGGCGGGGCGGGGTCGGGGGGGAGAAGTTGTGGCGGTGGCGGTGGTGGAGGCGGTGGTGGTGACAGTAGTTGTGGTGGCGGTGGTGGTGGCGGCGGTGGTGGTGGCGGCAGTAGCGGTGGTGGCGGTGGTGGTGGTAGTGGCGGTGGAGACGGCGGTGGTGGTGACAGTAGTGGTGGTGGTGGAGGTAGTGGCGATGGTGGAGGTGGCGAGAGTAGTAGTGGTGTTCGTAGTGGTGGCGTTGAGGACGGTGGTGGTAGTGGTGGTGGAGACGGTGGTGTTTGTGGTAGTAGTGGTGGTGGTGGTGGTAGTGGCGGTGGAGATGGTGGTGGTGGTGGTGGTGACAGTAGTGGTGGTGGCGGTGGTGGTGGCGGCAGTAGTGGTGGTGGCGGTGGCAGTGGCGGTGGTGAAGGTGGTGAGAGTAGTAGCGGTTATTTTTTTATTTAAAGCTTTCGTAACTGCAGTAATTCATATTATTAGCTCTTTCGGTAAAGTCACGTTAAAGGGAACCAATTAAATAATAAAATATACGTAAAACAATAAAAATTGTCACGAAGTTTCGACCATAACACAAACGGTCATCATCAGGTGTGAAAAGCAACACACCTGATGATGACCGTTTGTGTTATGGTCGAAACGTCGTGAGAATTTTTATTGTTTTACGTATATTTTATTATTTTATTGTTTCCCTTTAACGTGACTTTACCGAAAGAACTAAGATTATAGGAGTAGTGGTGTTCATAGTGGTGGCGTTGAGGACGGTGGTGGTAGTGGCGGTGGGAGACGGTGGTGTTTGTGGTAGTAGTAGTGGTGGTGGTGGTAGTGGTGGCGACAGTAGTAGTGGTGGCGGTGGTGGAGGTAGTGGCGGTGGAGACGGTGGTGTTTGTGGTAGCAGTAGTGGTGGTGGTGGTAGTGGTGGCGACAGTAGTAGTGGTGGCGGTGGTGGAGGTAGTGGCGGTGGAGACGGTGGTGTTTGTGGTAGTAGTGGTGGTGGTAGTGGTGGCGACAGTAGTAGTGGTGGCGGTGGTGGAGGTAGTGGCGGTGGAGACGGTGGTGTTTGTGGTAGCAGTAGTGGTGGTGGTGGTAGTGGTGATGACGGTGGTGGCACCGCGAACATCACCACGACCACCAACACCACCACCACCTTCAATGCCACCACACCACGGCTACCACCGCCATCACCAACATCACCACCACAACGTTCCTCAACACCACCACTACTCTCACCACCGAGCTGGGCGAAGCAGCCTCATCCCTCACCAGCATCACCACCGCCACTGGTAACACACCCTCACTACCACCCTCACCACCACCCTCACCCTCACCACCCCCCTCACCACACTCCTCACCAAAGACAAAGATCCCCCGTGTAGCCTGTAACAGACTGTAATGACAAGTGCTGTTAGCGAGCAGCGCCTATGAAGGCCGGCACGGCACACGAGGGGAAGGGTGGCCAACACCACGCCCGGCCGCCTTTGTCTCCCCAGTGGCGATGTTTACTAAACACAGAACCAGGTAACTCATTTGAGGCTGGGTCGACCTAGGGGAGGCCCAGAACCGGTTCAGATAATCGTCACTGGGTGGTGCTGGTGGCCGTGAGCGGGAATGGAACTCGGGTCGCCGGATTCGTAGCGCAGCGTTGCGCTAACCGCTGCACCACCGCTCACCACCGGGTGGCAGTAGTATACCCTCACTACCACCCTCACACCACCCTCACTACCACCCTCACCACCCTCACACCACCCTTACTACCACCCTCACCACCACCCTCACCACCACCACCCTCACCACCACCCTCACCACCCTCACACCACCCTCACACCACCCTCACCACCCTCACTACCACCCTCACCACCCTCACCACCACCACCCTCACACCACCCTCACCACCACCCTCACCACCCTCACTACCCTCACACCACCCTCACACCACCCTCACCACCCTCACTACCACCCTCACCACCCTCACCACCACCACCCTCACACCACCCTCACTACCACCCTCACTACCCTCACTACCACCCTCACCACCCTCACACCACCCTTACTACCACCCTCACCACCACCCTCACCACCCTCACACCACCCTCACAAACCACCCTCACCACCACCCTCACCACCCTCACACCACCCTCACCACCACCCTCACCACCCTCACACCACCCTCACCACCACCCTCACCACCACCCTCACCACCCTCACACCACCCTCACCACCACCCTCACCACCACCCTCACACCACCCTCACCACCACCCTCACCACCCTCACACCACCCTCACCACCACCCTCACCACCACCCTCACCACCACCCTCACACCACCCTCACCACCACCCTCACCACCACCCTCACACCACCCTCACTACCACCCTCACCACCACCCTCACCACCACCCTCACTACCACCCTCACCACCACCCTCACCACCACCCTCACCACCACCCTCACCACCACCCTCACCACCACCCTCACCACCACCCTCACACCACCCTCACTACCACCCTCACCACCCTCACTACCACCCTCACCACCACCCTCACCACTACCCTCACTACCACCCTCACCACCACCCTCACCACCACCCTCACTACCACCCTCACCACCACCCTCACCACCACCCTCACCACCCTCACACCACCCTCACTACCACCCAAACCACCACCCTCACCACCCTCACTACCACCCTCACTACCACCCTCACACCACCCTCACCACCACCCTCACCACCACCCTCACTACCACCCTCACTACCACCCTCACACCACCCTCACCACCACCCTCACCACCACCCTCACTACCACCCTCACTACCACCCTCACCACCACCCTCACCACCACCCTCACCACCCTCACTACCACCCTCACACCACCCTCACCACCACCCTCACCACCACCCTCACACCACCCTCACCACCACCCTCACACCACCCTCAATACCACCCTCACCACCACCCTCCTCCTCACCACCCTCACCACCACCCTCAAAACCACCCTCACCACCCTCACCACCACCCTCACCACCACCCTCCTCCTCACCCTCACCACCACCCTCCTGACCACCACCCTCACCACCACCCTCCTCACCACCACCCTCACCACCACCCTCACCACCACCCTCACCACCCTCACCACCACCCTCCTCACCACTCTCCTCACCACCCTCACCACCACCCTCCTCCTCACCGCCATCACCACCAACACCCTCACTACCACCCTCACACCACCACCCTCACCACCCTCACACCACCCTCACCACCACCTTCACCACCACCCTCCTGACCACCACCACCCTCACCACCACCCTCACTACCACCCTCACCACCACCCTCACCACCCTCACCACCCTCACCACCACCCTCAGCACCACCGCCCTCACCACCCTCACCACCCTCCTCCTCACCACGGGCGCCTCACCTCAAACACGCCGTCCGGCAGGCCTGCGAGCATGAAGAGGTGCAGCTCGGCTCGGCCGCCGCTGGCCGAGCGGCCGATCTTCTGGCGCAGTTTGTCGGGCGTCCACTCGTGGTTGAGGTTCATCTGACGCAGTTTGTTCTCACTCACCTGGGACAGGTACACGGTGGGGGGGTGGTGGTGGGGGGGTGGTGGTGGGGGGGTGGTGGTGGGGGGGTGGTTCAGGTTCATCTGACGCAGTTTGTTCTCACTCACCTGGGACAGGTACACGGTGGGGGGGGTGGTGGTGGTGGGGGGTGGTGGTGGTGGTGGTGGGGGGGTGGATACATCACATGGGGCGTCGTAGCAGCTAGGAAATGTTAACTACCTCGCCTGGCCTACAGGAGGTCGCGCGTTCCATCCCCGACGCCGACGACGCCTGCTGGCTGTACATTTGAAATTTGCTTCTCTCTCTCTCTCCCTCTCTCTCTCTCTCCATCTCCATCTCCCTCCGTCTCTCTCTCTCCCTCTCTCTCCATCTCCATCTCCATCTCCCTCCGTCTCTCTCTCTCCCCACACACCCCCTCCTCCCCCACCCCCACCACCCACCCGCAACGCTCACCTCTGAGAGAAAGACCGCGAAGCGCTTCGAGTAGAGCGGGTCGTACTGGTCGGTGAGGTGCAGCATGAACGCGAAGTCGTTGCGCACGTCCGGGATGTCGCCGATGCGCGTCTCCCGGCGGACGCCCTCGAAGGAGTACTCCCGTAGCGAGCGGCGGAAGAGCCAGTAGAGCGTGTAGAGGCCCACGGCGCCGTAGGCCCCCACGAAGCAGCAGTAGCAGAGCGACAGCTTCGAGAAGAGATGCGCCATCGAGTGGTTGCACGAGAAGTCGCCGTAGCCGGTGACGTCGCGCACGTTCACGCGGCAGCGCACCGTGAAGCGCACCTGGTGCACGAAGGCCCCGTTGTAGGCGATGATCGTCACGAACTGCGGGGGGGGGGGGTGGGGGGAGGGGGGTGGGGGGGTGTGGGGGTGTGGTGGGTGGGGAGAGAGAGAGGAGGAGGGGGTGGAGGAGGTGGAGAAGGGGGGGAGGAGGTGGAAGAGAAGGGGGGAGGGGGGAGGAGGTGGAGGAGGAGGGAGGGAGGGAGGGAGGGAGGAGGAGGGGGTGGAGGAGGTGGAAGAGAAAGGGGGGAGGAGTGGGGGGGGGGGAAGGTGGAGGAGGAGGGGGGGGAGGAGGTGGAAGAGAAGGGGGGGAGGGGGGAGGAGAGATGAGGGGGGAGAGGAGGAGGTGGAGGAGGAGTGGGGGAGGAGGTGGAAGAGAAGGGGGGAGGGGGGAGGAGGTGGAGGAGGGAGGGAGGGAGGGAGGGAGGGAGGGAGCGAGGGAGGGGGGGGGGAGAGTTCCCTCACCCACCCTCCCACAAGACCGCACCGAGGGCACAATGGAGGTTGTGTGGTGAGACCACTGTGTCGTGACCCTCCACCACCCGACACAGCCCACCAGGAACGGGTTTTTGTGACGTAATCGAAACGCGCCAATTAGGTGACCAATTCAGGCCCACCGGTGCCATTTAGAATCTCTCTCTCATTTCTCTCATCTCTCTCATCTCTCTCATTTCTCTCTCTCATCTCTCTCATCTCTCTCATCTCTCTCTCATCTCTCTCATCTCTCTCATTTCTCTCATCTCTCTCTCATCTCTCTCTCATCTCTCTCTCATCTCTCTCTCATCTCTCATCTCTCTCTCTCATCTCTCTCATCTCTCTCTCATCTCTCTCAGCTCTCTCTCAGCTCTCTCTCGCTCCCACTCCCTCTTCTCTCGCTCTCTCATCTCTCTCTCATCTCTCTCTCTCATCTCTCTCATCTCTCTCATCTCTCTCATTTCTCTCATCTCTCTCTCATCTCTCTCTCATCTCTCTCTCTGATCTCTCTCTCATCTCTCTCATCTCTCTCTCATCTCTCTCAGCTCTCTCTCAGCTCTCTCTCTCGCTCCCACTCCCTCTTCTCTCGCTCTCTCATCTCTCTCTCATCTCTCTCTCTCATCTCTCTCTCATCTCTCTCTCATCTCTCTCTCATCTCTCTCTCATCTCTCTCTCTCACCTCTCTCGCTCTCACTCACCTTGATCACCTTGACCACCGTCTGCCGGACGTACATGGTGTACAGGATGTCCCCCTCCTCCACGTGGATGCGGAACTTCTTCACCTTCTCGAACAGCGCCTTGGCCTGCTCGCCCTCCTTCTTGTCCAGGATGTTGATGCTCGACTTTCCCACCACTCCGCAGTCTCCGCCGACGCCGGCACCACCGGCACCGCCGCCGACGCCGACGCCTGCCGACGCCTGCAGAGGCTTGCCGAGCCCCACCTCGGCCGCCCCCATGTCCGCCGCCGCCGCCGCCGCCGACGACCTCCGGGTCGAACCTCCCCTCCCGGCGGTGGTCACCACGGCCGCATCGTCGTCGTCATCGTCGTCATCGTCGTCGCCGGCTAAGCTGCTCCTCCTGCCGCGGACGAAGCTGGCGCCGACGCCGCCGGCCCCCTTGCCGTCGCCCTCCTGGTTCTCGCCGCCGACCGTCTCCGAGAGGGCCCGCGTGGTCCACGGCGAGTCGAAGCACTTGCCCAGGATGGAGATGAAGTGCTCGATCTTGGAGCTCGTGCCGGGGAACTTGAACCAGAAGTTGGAGCAGATCATGAAGACGAGCGTGTGGATGAGAACGAGGTAGGGGAAGTACTTGGCGTACCAGTGGAGGGCGCGCTCGTAGCACATCTGGTTGACGTACAAGTACTGCTGGAAGTCCAGGTTGGTCTTGACGCCTCGAGGGCTCGGGATTGGCGGCGCGGCGCTCGCCGGCGGCGCCGGGGGGGAGGCCGTGGCGTTGTTGGCGGTCGGGGCGGTCGGGGCGGCCGACGTCGGCGCGGCGAGGGGTTCGGGCACGGGCAGGACGTGGTTGGGCAGGCAGATGATTTTGTCCTGGGTGACCTGGCGAGAGAGGTGGAGGGGGGGTGGGGGGAGGAGAGAGTTGGGAGATGAGAGAGTGAGGAGAGAGAGAGAGGGGAGAGTTGGGAGATGAGAGAGTGAGGAGAGAGAGAGAGGGGAGAGTTGGGAGATGAGAGAGTGAGGAGAGAGAGGAAAGGTTGGGAGATGGGAGAGTGAGGAGAGAGAGAGATGGGAGAGTTGGGAGATGGGAGAGTGAGGAGAGAGAGGGGAGAGTTGGGAGATGAGAGAGTGAGGAGACAGAGGGGAGAGGTTGGGAGATGAGAGAGTGAGGAGAGAGAGTTTGGAGATGAGAGAGTGAGGAGAGAGAGGGAGAGTTAGGAGATGAGAGAGTAGAGAGAGAGAGGGGAGAGTTGGGAGATGAGAGAGTGAGGAGAGAGAGGGGAGAGTTGGGAGATGAGAGAGTGAGGAGAGAGAGGAAAGGTTGGGAGATGAGAGAGTGAGGAGAGAGAGAGAGGGGAGAGTTGTGAGATGAGAGAGTGAGGAGAGCGAGGGGAGAGTTGGGAGATGAGAGAGTGAGGAGAGAGAGTTTGGAGATGAGAGAGTGAGGAGAGCGAGAGAGGGGAGAGTTGTGAGATGAGAGTGAGGAGAGAGAGAGATGAGAGGTTGGGAGATGAGAGAGTGAGGAGAGAGAGGGGAGAGTTGGGAGATGAGAGAGTAGAGAGAGGGGAGAGTTTGGAGATGAGAGAGTGAGGAGAGAGAGGGGAGAGTTGGGAGATGAGAGAGTGAGGAGAGGGGAGAGTTTGGAGATGAGAGAGTGAGGAGAGAGAGGGGAGAGTTGGGAGATGAGAGAGTGAGGAGAGAGATGAGAGGTTGGGAGATGAGAGAGTGAGGAGAGAGAGGGGAGAGTTGGGAGATGAGAGAGTAGAGAGAGGGGAGAGTTGGGAGATGAGAGAGTGAGGAGAGGGGAGAGTTTGGAGATGAGAGAGTGAGGAGAGAGAGGGGAGAGTTGGGAGATGAGAGAGTGAGGAGAGAGATGAGAGGTTGGGAGATGAGAGAGTGAGGAGAGAGAGATGAGAGGTTGGGAGATGAGAGAGTGAGGAGGGAAAGGGGAGAGTTGGAAAATGAGAGAGAGAGAGGAGAGAGTGAGGAGAGAGAGAGAAAGGGGAGAGTTGGAAAATGAGAGAGAGGAGAGAGAGGGGAGAGTTGGGAGAGGAGAGGGAGAGGATAAGTGAGAGAGAGAGAGAGAGGGGAGAGAGATGAGAGGTTGGAAGATGAGAGAGTGAGGAGAGAGTGAGGAGAGAGAGACAGGAGAGAGAGAGAGAGAGGTGATGCGGAGAGGATGTTGGCATCGTGCAATCGTCGTCGTGATGATAACCATCGTCATCCCATCATCATCATCGTGATGGTAACCATCGCCTGTCGAACCCACGACCCCTGTATGCCAGGCGAGGTAGTCAACATCTCCTAGCCACCGTGATGATGATGAGAGAGACACACAAACTCCAAATACACAGCAGCAAGCGTCGTCAGGGTCGGGATCGAACCCACGACCTCCTGCACACCAGGTGAGGTAGTTAACATCTCCTAGCCACCGTGGCGATCCCTCATTGTCAGCAGCGCCATTAAAATCACAGCAATGTCATCGTCGCCACCATCATCATCAGCACGATGCTGTCTGCTCATCTTTCCCCAATGCGCCCATTATGAACCAACAGACACACTCATCATCATCATCAGTAGCAGCATCATAGTCAGCAGCTACATCAGCAACAGCATCATCAGCAGCAGCAGCAGCTACATCAGAAGCTACATCAGCAGCATGAACAGCTACATCATCATCAGCAGCTACATCATCACCAACTACATCATCACCAGCTACACCATCATCTTCATCAGCTACACCATCATAATCAGCTACATCATCATCAGCTACACCATCATCATCATAATCAGCTACACCTTCAGCTACACCATCATTCTTGATTTGAATCGTACACACCATCATTATCATCAGCTACATCATCATCATCATCAACAGCTACACCATCAGTAATTACATCATCAGCTGCTGCATCATCGTCATCAGCAGTGCTCAGGATGTTCGCTGCGTTCCTGGCCACTCGTTCACGTCTCCCGTCAGAATGACCTCACTCCAGCCTCATGTCACCACCACCCCCGCACCAAAGAATAAACACACAGCCCCGCCCCTCAGCCCCCCAACACCCCCTCCCCCTACCTCCCCCTACCTCCCCCCACAACCCCCTCCCCTCCACAACCCCCCAACCCCCTCCCCCCAACCCCCTCCCGCAACCCCCTCCCCCCACGTCCCCCCCCACCAAACTCCTCACCAACCCCCTCCCCCCAACCCCCTCCCCCACCTTCCCAACCCCCTCCCCCACCCCCGCAACCCCCTCCCCCCTAACCCCTCCCCCCTAACCCCTCCCCCCTAACCCCACCCCCCCAACCCCAAGCGCGTGCTCTTTGCGAGGGGGGGGGGGGTGTGGATGGGGGTCGCGTCCCGGCGGTTGCCACCTCCGAGACGCAAGACAAACCGGGACGTCTCGAGATCGCGGTGGAGCTGGCAGCCAAGGCGTGGATGTCACCCACATTGTTCCACAGCGGATGTTTGGCGATCTTATTGTTGTACATTTTGGATTACATAACTGGCAGCAGCAACAACAACCGCCGGGTAAACGTCATTTCCTAGGGGGAATATTTTTTTACAGATTCCCTCTCCGCCCTGCGCCACCCCTGGGAAAATCCGGGACGGGTGGCAACCGCTGCCAATACCCCGCCATTCGCCACCACGCGCCTGTGCCAGGCTAGGTGCACTTCGAGGCTATCACGTGAAGGTTGTCGAAGGCTCGCTGCTGACAGCAGGAGGAGGTTCTCAGGGCAGACCCTGCAGGTGCCATGGGCTGGCTGACTGAGATGACTGACAGATGCACCACTAGCTGTACCCCCCTACTGTGCCAGGCTAGGTGCAGGAGGTCTCGGGACAGACCCTGCAGGTGCCATGGGCTGGCTGACTGAGATGACTGACAGATGCACCACCAGCTGTACCCCCCCGACTGTGCCAGGCTAGGTGCAGGAGGTCTCGGGACAGACCCTGCAGGTGCCCTGGGTTGGTTGGCTGACTGACAGACACCCACACACAGAGACCCACACACGAAGACACACACACACAGAGGCACACACACACAGAGACACACAGAGACACACACACAGAGGCACACACACAGAGACACACAGAGACACACACACAGAGACACACACACAGAGACACACACACAGAGACACACACACCAATACCAACACAGCCGCCATTCGCCACTAAGTAACGCTGACGTCACCACGGCGCCTGTGCCAAGCTAAGTGCACTTTGAGGCTATCACGTGAAGTGTCCAAAGACTCGCTGCTGACAGGAGGAGGAGGAGGTCTCGGGACAGACCCACACACAGAGACACACAAAGACAAAGATCCCCCGTGTAGCCTGTAACAGACTGTTGGGGCAAGTGCTGTTAGCGAGCAGCACCTATGAAGGCCGGAAGGGCACACGACGGGGTGGGTGGCCAGCATCACCCTTGGCCCTCCCCAGTCGCGATGTTTACTACACAGCGCATCAGGTAACTCATTTGAAGCTGAGTCGACCTATGGGAGGCTCAGGGACCGGTTCAGATAATCGTCACTGGGCGGTGCTGGTGAGCGGGAATCGAATTCGGGTCGCCGGGTTCGTAGCGCAGCGTAGCGCTAACCGCTGTACCACCGCTCACCACCGCTCACCGCTTTGGGGCTACCACGTGAAGTGTCGAAGGCTCACTGACAGCAGGAAGAAGGTTTCGGGACAGACTTCAGCAGGTGCCATGGGTTGGTTGGTTGGCTGACAGACATCCACACACACACAGAGACACACGCACAGACAAAAACAAAGACCCCCCATATAGCCTGTAACAGACTATAGGGGCAAGTGCTGTTAGCGAGCACCTATGAAGGCCGGAACGGGACACGAGGGGGTGGGTGGCCAGCACCATGCCCGACCGCCTTTGTCTCCCTAGTGGCGATGTTTACACACCGCACCAGGTACTCATTTGAGGCTGAGTCGACCTAGGGGAGGCCCGGGACCGGTTCAGATAATCGTCACTGGTGTTGGCCGTGAGCGGGAATCGAACCCGGGTCGCCAGGTTCATCGCGCAGCGTAGCGCTAACCGCTACACTACCGCACAGACACACACACGGAGACACACACCAATACCAATACAGCCGCCCTTCGCCACTAAGTGACGGTGACGTCACCTGTGCCAGGCCAAGTGCACTTTGGGGCTATCACGTGAAGGCTCGCTGCTGACAAGAGGTCACGGGACCAACCCTACAGGTGCCATGGGTTGGCTGACTGAGATGACCGGTAGATGCACCACCAGCTGTACCCCCCTACTGTCCTAGGCTAGGTGCAGGAGGTCTCGGGACAGATCCACTCACCCACTCAATCGCTCGCTCACCCACTCACTCACCCACTCACTCACCCACTCGCTCGCTCGCTCACTCACTCGCTCACGCACTCACTCGCTCGCTCACCCACTCACCCGCTCACTCGCTCGCTCGCCCACTCACCCGCTCGCTCGCTCACCTACTCACTCGCTCACTCACCCACTCACTCGCTCACTCACCCACTCGCTCACCCGCTCACTCTCTCACCCGCTCACTCACGCACCTACCCGCTCACTTACAGACCCACTCACCCGCCCGCCCACTCAGCCCCTCACTCGCTCGCTCACCCAACTACAGGTTATGTCAAATTGTTATTGTTCCGCTATTTAAAGGTGGGTCACAAATAGCAGAATAACGGCTTAGGGCTCGCGTAGCGCACACGCGAGCCCACACCCACAGCTGGAGGGAGTGTCACGTGTCTGTTGGAATGCAGGCGGCAAGTCAGGACATAGGGCGCGCGCGTACACTAGTACACACACACACTAGTACACACACACACAAGTACACACACACTAGTACACACACTAGTACACACACACATTAGTACACACACACCA